AGGGACAGCAACCTGACCCCCAGCTCAAAAAGGTTGCCTACCCCTGATTTACAGGTTCTATTAATGTAGGCTATATCACCTGAGTGCTGGGCAGTGTGGGCAGACCTTGACTTCTTGGGACAGGCTGTGGTTTGGGAAGGCTCCCTCACTTGTGTTGTGCCATCTTTCTCATATTCACATCATCACATCTTCATTCCCAGGGGACTGAGAAGATATTTATCTCTATACCGAAGCCTCAGGGGCCTGATGTATTCCCTTTTTGTGTTGTGCTGGCATTGAACCGGTAGAAAAATATGAGCCAAGTAGGTTTTCATCTAGGTTTACCATGTGAAGAGGGCCTTGGCTGAGTTATCAGTTGTTGGTTGTGCTGATTTGTTGTTGGTCATATTCGTTGCGGGATTCTGGGGTTTGGAATCTTTTTTTAGAAATCTTTTCCATGTTCTGGTTGGCAATAGCAAAAGACAGAGTAGTTCTAAGGTCCATTCACCTTTGTGGGAAAATTGCACTGAGCTCTTCTGATGTCAAAAAGAAATGATGGGAAACCATTTAGAAAATACAAAAGAAATACAAATGGACAATACTGTGTAAAATAAGATAATGTTGATATGCTGAGATAATCACAGTAAACATCTAGTTTAAAGAAACCTCACTTCACAGTCTGATTTTCACAATCACAGATTTACTCATATTTATATCTAATCCATTGGACTGTTCATTGCTGATGCTAGATTATCTACAGTAAATGAAATATACCTCCAGATTATTTGGAATGCTACTTCTTACTTCCCTGCATAAAAAAAAGAACTGTCAATTTCTTCTTAACCTTTCCTTCCTCTGCCCAGTTAGTGACCCGTACCAAAATCTTCTTTTCTTGTGACTGCTAAATTTACTTAGTAGCTTCTGATGAGGCACTTTAAGATAAATTTGATAAACCTGAGATCATAACAGTTACAAGTTCAGCTCACCTGCATGCTTCTCAATGCCATCAGTCCTAAAAATCTGCCATGGCAACAGGATTTCACATTTTTGGAAGGGACTCTAGAGAATGACAGTGTAGCTCAATAGTAGAACTCATGGTTGGTATGCAGAAAGTCCCAGGTTCAATTCCTGGGGTCTCCAGTTAAAAGAATCAAGTAGCAAGTGGCTAAAATCTGTTTTCACAGAACCATCAGAACCATGGTCCTTACCCTACTTTTCAGTCCCAGCAAGGGTAACCCTGTTGAATCAATGGAACCTATGTTGAGTTAGTAGCTTCCTAAACTGAGCCAGTGCATTTACACTAGTGGAAACTAATAATTTAATTTAGGCTCTGCTGCTGTTAAGTCAGAATAGATAGTGTTGTGGCAGATTGACAAATCTGATCTGATCTGAGGCAAGTTCCCATGTTTCTTTTCTTCAGCAGTAGTCTTACTGTAACTCCCACTCAGGCTGACAATTTCTGTGAGCCAAACCTATGACCATCTCCACCACTGGACTGTCTCCTTCTATCCATGTGGGTCTCACTCATGATTGCATCCAGCTCCAGCCCCAACATCACTGCAATTTGTACAGTAATTTGCACTGCACTTGGCTTCCTACAGCCCTATGGTAAAAATAAATTACCATAATGAATTACTAGGCTAGCACCATCGGGCCTAAAATAAGAAGAGCCCTCCCTCCATTACCATCCGATGCCATCTGGGGAAGAGACACTAGGCCCAGCACCATCCAGCCTAGAATAAGAAGAACCCTTACTTCTTAAAGGATGGGTGGGATTTGGGATTTTATGTTCTGTTTAATATATCTGTATGGAAATTGTAATGTTGTAAGCCACCCCGATTGCTCTGCAGAGGGGCGGGATATTATTATTATTATTATTATTATTATTATTATTATTATTATTATTATTATTTTATTATTATTAATTATTATTATTATTATTATTATTATTATTATTATATCCTGGATTAATTTTATATTAGAATTATGTACTGTATAATGCATATGGCAGATGCATTCCTTAATTTAGGTCAAGTTTGTAAAATATCCTGGATTATGTCTAGATCATCCAGCTCAGGCTTCTGTTTGAGTCTGGAAATGCAAACCAACTGACCTGTTGGAGAAGGAAGGAATTATGGAATAATAATATGATGCTTCCATAGGCATCATGGCAAGTGTCCCCAAGCAGTGTAATGGAACTAGGGTTTACAGAGTCAAAGCTCTCAGGGCTTTTTGATTAACAGGAACTATAACATCTCTGCCAGCCTCCCTTGGACACCTCCATTCCCTCTGAGTTTAGCTGCAATCTCCTCAAACTGTGTGTGAGGGATTTTCCCCAGCAACAGTGTATTCTTCTGAATTACTCATGGTGCAGTCCAAAAACCCAAGCTAGTGGTTACTTGGCCTTGAGCAAGTGTCAGCTTTACAAAAGTTCTGCTCCTAGTGAAGATGAAAAAACACCTGGAATTTTTTTTTAGATCAACACAGCCACCTCAGTTTGTAGACACTCTTTGGATGTGTTGCTACAGAAAGTGTCTTGGCAAAGGCGTGCACTTCATCTGGTGCACATGCTCCCTCAAATGTTCCCATGTGGACTAATCCTATTTTGTCTCTTCTCTTGACCCTCCCACTTTGAATGGGAAAGTCTAAAGGGGCTTTGTACATGGGCATAGATGTCTCTCTCCCAATATGGAGCTCCTGGTCCTGATCATGAAGAAGCTTCTAAGCATATGAAGCGAAGTGCCAATGAGGATCTTCTGGGGAGACCACTAGCCATGCTTCTCCCATGTGGCCAATATTCTCCTCAAAGCAGATCCTCAGAATGAGGAATTATGGGGGGAAAGGCCATAAAAACTGCCTATGCAGTGTAGTCCTCAGAGGGCATGACCACTAGATTAGATTTGTTGGGGAGGAGGGCAAATGAATGAAAATAAATAAAGGAAGCCTGTTTTCCCACTTCATGTTGTAGGACATATTGTGCCACTGCCAGTTGAAGTGAATAAACTGTGTGCTCTTAGTAGGAAGGGCTGGAGTGGGTAGGAAGTTTGGAGGCAACCTGGAGTTGCCACTGAACTTCCCTGTTCTTACAAAATGCCTGAACAGGTCAGTTACAACAGTTCAGACAATACTACCCACAAATATTTTGTTACCTGTAGCAGAGGGCTCATGTCTCCCTCTCACATATACTTAAGGCTACCACTTAAATTTTTTTGCTGCATTTCCCACAAATCAGTTCTTACCCTCATCTTTCCAGCCTCATGCCTAGGGCAGGTCATTTCACCCTACTGCATAGCAAGGTCAACTTGGAATCTAAACCAAGATATACTTTGCAGTCATGGGATTTATCTAAAAAAGAAAAAGATGGCACATGTGGTCAAAGTTTGGAGATGGCATTTGAAAAGCCCCATAATTCTAAACCCCTGTTTATGATGTTAACTAAAGCTGACAAACCAAAATTTATTTTTGCAGCTACACTCAGATAATATGCAGGCTTTGTGAATATTCGCAAAAGTGTTATCTTGAAACGGCTGGGAACTCAGCTCAGCATGTTTGCTGCAGACCTTGTTTCAGATATAAATATTCGGTGTATAGATGGATGTCTGTATTGCATTGGCAAAGTGGTTGATTTTTTAAAAATTCATTGGTTTAATTTTTTTTCTTCATTCCTCCTGTTGGATGCAGTATTATCTGGATGTGTTGACATGTGTTTTTCTCTTTCTTTGTTGCATTTGAAACAAATCACCATAGATACATTAGGCAGCAAAAATAAAAGGCAAAAAAACACACAACGGTGTATAAATGCTCATAACAAATGCAGCTGTTAGCAATATTTTTTTTCATTTATGGAGTACTTTAGGACATTTATAAAGCCATTTTATCTATATAACAGTTACAACAATATAGTAAAAGTAAGCCAATATTATCATAGAATGGTAGGGAGCTTTCACAGGCCACTTGAGTAGTGACTTATCATACTCTCCAACATTTCACAGTTGAAAAATAGGAAATGTGTGACCAAGCAAAGTAAGGTTGGGTCAAGATGGGAAAGATCATTAATGGGCTGTAACAGACATTATTAAAGTTATTAACAAGGAACAACATGCAAGTTAGGAGAAGCAGCAGCAGTTTGCTTTAGCTTGAGCCTACTGGGAAGGTAGGGATTCCACCCCTCCTCTCCTCCCTCCATTTGAGTCAGTTGAGTGGAAACTACTTTAGCACTTTGAAGTCAGCTTGCAGCCACTGAAGTAAACTGAATAGGAGGAAAGTGGGAGGAGGAGAGAGAATCTGAGATACTTTAAAAGCAGTAGAAAAAATGAGGTGACAGAATATTAATTACGGCTGACCCTGCTAAATTGAGACAGTTGGAGGGTATGAAATATAGACGGGGGGGGGGGAATCAGTATGTTGTTTTAAATGCATGAATGAGGTGCAAGGGGAACTGAGGTTGGCCCCATTACTTGCGCTAAATCCAGTTTTGGGGACAAGCTATGACAGTAGCTTTGAAACAGTGGGACAGTATCCCTGGGATGTGTGTGAGAGAGTTGTCCAAGAGGGGTGCAAGACTTGGAGGTTCTGATCTCATCTCTTCCTCCTCTTTCCAAACTTTTTTATGTATAAAATTCTCACATGCATTGAGTTAAATATTGAATTTACTTATATAAAACTGTTCTATTTGAAGGATATTATTTCCCTATATTGTGGTGCGCCTTCAAGTCATTTCCATTTTATGGTGACCTTAAGGTGAACCTATCATGGGGTTTTCTTGTCAAGATTTGTTCAGACGAGGTTTGCCATTGCCTTCCCTGAGGCTGAGAGCATGTGACTTGCCCAAGGTCACCCAATGGGTTTTGTGGCTGAGCAGGGAATTGAACTCTGGTCTCCAGAATCATAGTCCAACATTCAAACCACTACACCATCCTCTCTGTGAGCTTATAAAAAGTTAAAATATGAATATACATGTATGTGCGAATGAAAATCTACACACTAAATAAACAAAATATTTTTATTCATATACTACGTCAAGTCATTGTGGATGCAACATCCACATGAAGATGTAAAGGGGGGGGGGTCCCAATGGTAAAAAATTTTGAGTATCACTGAGCTATGATACGAAATGAATGGATGAATGAAGAAACAATTGAACAAAGAAATGTCTGATGTTTAACCAGCCCACATACTGATGGCATTCTATAGCATTATTTCAGAGCTGATTTGGGGCTATTGCAAAGGATTGCTTGTTGCAACCACAGTGATAACTAGCTAACAAACTTACTTGCAGGTGCGTTCCTACTCATGCATTGGCCTAAAACATTTGTTGGCCATGACAAGATTAGTTGGATACACGCCTTGAACAAGGATGTGCCCAGTTCAATTCACTTTGTGAACATCAGGGTTTGGTTATGTGTACGGTCTTGGGCAGTTCAGCATAGTTTGATACATTATTTTGATTGGTGACTACAGTGAGGAAGCTGGAAAATCTACCTCATTAAAGAGGTACCACCTGTTGCTCTTGTGGCAATTTTGTCACACCGGCTTTTCTCCCATGCTGATCCTGCCAGTTTGTGTATACTAGCCACTAATGCAATAGTTATCTGGAGGTGTGGGAAGGGTGTAGCCATTCATCCTATGTTTGCAAAAAAGCACCTGCACAGAGGCCTCTTTTCACATTATTATTCAATGTTATTTCCTTTTTAAATGGACATTTTGTCCCATTTGCCTATATTTTGAACAGGTATACTACATGCTAGCTGGTTTGTATTTTTAACAGGTTTTAATTTTTAATAGTTTAATTACATTTTAAACTTTTTTTATGCTGTGAATTTTTAGCTATCTTTGTTTTAATTGTAAGCTTTCCTACACTGGGGAAAAGGTGAAGTATAATAGTAATATTAATTCTAATGATGCTAATACTACTATTAATGCTAATGATAAACAATAGCAGCAACAGATAGCAAAGCCCATTCTGGAAATTACCTATGGGGATGGGTAGACGTTTTCTAAGGAAAATGAGAACTTCTTCAGTCACTGTGTTTCTTAAAAATGAATTGCAAATCTCTCTCTCTCTTTTTTTTTTAACTGAAGAAAAGGCACTTTCTTCCATTCTGAATGGTTTCTTTCCTTTTGTAAGAGCAACGAATATTTCAGCCTCTTAGAATGAACCGTGAGAATCAAAGATACTTGTAAAGCTTACCATAGTTGACTTTTTGCTAGGCTCACCCTAGTCAACGCCATCGTGAAGCAAGGGAGAAGGAGGAATAATGAACCCAGTAGCTCAGCGATGCCTTGGCCAAACAGTTTCTGCCCTTCTAGTTCAAAAAGGAATATGTTGTTGTAGTTGTCGTGGTCAACTTCCTGGAGAAGGGCAGGGCAACCCTGCAGTTGCATGAGCTGCATTATCTCCCCCTGTTTAGCAGGAAAACAAGAGGGCTCTAATGCAGCAATTCCTCAAGCCTCTCTCCCACTGCTGTCTAGCATAGGTTGCATCCTCCATCTTTCCCTTGTCAAGGGAGAGGAGAGAGAAGGGGTAGGCAACCTTTCCCCTTTTAGGGCTGAGGGACTTCAGCTCCCAGAATCCCAGGAGCTATTGGCCAACATGGGGCTATTGGCCAACATGGCTGAGGCTTCTGGGAGCTGAAGTCCCTCGGCCCTTAAGGTGGTGATGGTGGTGGTATGTGTGTGTGCACATGCACAGAAAAGGTGGAGTCTACCTGCGAGAGACTCTACCTCCGGTCTTTTGACCCTTTTACATTACAGTACTGTATAACCAGAAACTGTTAATCTGACCCGTGTGTTGCATATATGGGATCTGGGTATAATTTAGAATGGTCAAAAGGGGGAGTTGTCAGAAAGTGAGGCATCAAAAGACAGGGGATGCCTGAAAAATAAAAATGTCACTACTTTTAATGATTGATGTATAATTGATTAAACAGACTTGGAAAATTGCTAAAGAAGGTCAAAGCTAAAAGTGCAAAGGCAGGCCTAATGCTAAACATAAAGAAAACAAAAATAATGAGCATGGAAGAAATACATAAATTCAAACTAAACAATAAAGAAATTGCAATAAAGAATTTCGTAGCTAGGATCAAATACCAATCAGAATGGAGACTGCAGTCAAGAAACCAGAAGAAGACTATGAATGGGAAAGGCACTGATGAAAGAACTAGATAAAATCCTAAAGCAGGGGTAGGCAACCTTTCCCCTTTAAGGGCCAAGGGACTTCAGCTCCCAGAATCCCAGAAGCTATTGGCCAACATGGGACTATTGGCCAACATGGCTGAGGCTTCTGGGAGCTGAAGTCCCTCAGCCCTTAAAGGGGAAAGGTTGCCTACCCCTGTCCTAAAGACATACAACTGAGCACTAAAGTTAGAATTGTCCAAACCATCATATTCCCCATTAGCATATACAGATGTGAAAGCTGGACAGTGAATAAGCTGAGGGTGGAAAAAAACCATTTGAAATGTGGTGCTGGAGAATAGTGCTATCATGGGTAGCCAAAACACAAAGAAATTGATCCTTAAACAGATAAAGCCTGAAATCTCCTTGGAAGTCAAGATGATCAAATTGGGGCTGTTGTAGTTTGGTCACATCATGAGAAGACACGATTCATTAGAAAAGACAATAATGCTAGGAAAGGTAGAGGGTAGTAGAAAGAAAGGAAGACCGCATGCCAGATGGATAGACTCAATCAGGAAGGTCTCTGGCCTGAATTTGCAGAACCTAAGCAAAGTAGTTGAAGATGAGGGAGTCTTGGAGACTTCTCGTCCACAGAGTTGCCATGAGTTGGGGTCAACACGAGAGCGGTTAACAACCATCACTTCTACAATAATTAATTAATTGGAGCTAATTAATTAATTAGAGAAATACTTAATGCTGGGTTTGTGGGGATGGATTGAAATAAAAATTAAAAATTGAAAAATAAAAACCCTCAAAAATTAAAATGTGCAGCAATTCCAAAAACCCAAATGTTAAGGCAAGAATCAAAAGGACTGAAGAATGAAGGACACTAAAAACAAAGAAGAAAAGGGCTTGTCTCTGTGCAAACAGATTTGAGAATTATATGTGATGTAATACACACACACACACACACTTGAGAGAAAATAACAGCATTGCAGTGTTTTCAAACTGCAGAATGTGGCTTTCACTGTGGGAAAAAAAGCAGAGACGCAACAGGATAGATCTCATTCCCTTTTGCAAAGGGGAAAAAAAAAAAGGTCACAGTTTTTTAAAGGCATGGGCTTCATTTCAGAAAGTGCCTTCTGTGGGAAAAAATGTATCAATGACTGGGGGTGACTCAGTCCTCTCACCACAATGAGCCTGTACTTAAGCATGATTATAGAAGGCTTGGCTACAAAGGAAATACCCTGTTGTTTAAAGCCCAAGATGGGGACATCCTTTCTCCCTTCAGCCTGATGTCATGGTGGTTTATGTGGTACAGGGTATTTTTCAACCAAGACGTCAATCCAATGAGACAGTGTTGGGAATTATTTTCCCTGGAATGGAACTGGTCTTAACTCTAGAATTGGTGGAGAGGGAAGAGATGACCATAGCAATGTGGGGCAGAGAATTGGGATGGAAGAAATGATAGAAGATCCACTCTGAGTTCCAAGGTTTTAGAAATATACAGCAGGGATTAATCCTACCATTAGGGACAGTGAGGCAGCCATCTCAAATTCATGGGAAACTCAGCAACTTGTTTGTGGTGGTGGTGGTGGTGGTGATGATGATGATGATGATACTATATGTTTACTGTTGGGGAGAGGGAGTTTGTGGGATTTTCTGTCCTATGTAGCAAAATGACATGACTCACTTTTCTGGATTAGGATTTGAGGGCAGTGATTGAAGTGGGGTAGGGAGTCCCGTTTTGTGCTCTGACTTAGACAGCCAAATATCTTGGGATGGTAACAAGCTTCAAACATTGGCCACATCCCTGCTGAGGGACTCAGATTGCCATTTTTATTTTTCAGATCTGGGTGGCTTCATAGCTATATGGCAACAGGTCAAATACAGTATCAGAGCAGAACATCTCATAGGCCCATAGATGGAACAGCCCAAAGGTGAAACACTCATGGTGTTTCCTTCCCAGTACCCACTTTCCCATATGTAATGGCCAGACCAGATTTCATCCTTGCCTAAGGAATGCCTGCCCATCCCATGCTTTAAAGTCAACTTTGGTGGCTCATATTATATAGTAAACAAAAAATCAGGCCTTTAAAGTGACAATATTTGATAGCAATATTCTAAAACTAGGTTTAGCAAAGGAGATTGATAGTGAAATGGTATCTCATAAGCAGTCAGCAATAAACCTCTCTACAGGAATTGCTGCATTGCCGGGGCTGGAGGTCCTCTCTCTCTCACACACACACACACAAACACATACACACACTGCCTTGGTCAGTACTATTTTGTATCAGCTTCTTAGTTAAGTATACTGGCCCAATGCCCCCTCCAAATCTGACAGAATCCATTCACTTTGGGCTCCGACCTCAGGTAGAATGGTCCTCCTTCTTCCCATGCAGCTGATGCCCAGTAAAGTAGGTCTTTGTGGGTGGAAGTTATGATCGTAGTAATAGTATTACAAACATGACTAAGCCACAGTTGTGAATATGGAGTAGTGACAGATGAGTAAATCTAGGTAACTATGGGGGACTGCAGACAGGCAGTTCTGGGCTGCCCCAGGAAGCAGTGGATCGGGGCTGCAGCAACCCCATGCCGTGGCCCCGATCCTCACTTTTGCTGCTCCAAAAAGAGCAGCAAAAGGCCACCCTAAGAGCTGGCGTACAGCTCTTCAGCACCCTTTTTGGTGCAGCATGTCAGAACGCTGCACCGGAAGGGCGTCCTGATGCAGTCCACCATGCGTAATGGCACGTGGCATCAGGGCAGCATCGCTGTGGGGTTGGGGCGGCTGGCATGTGGCTGCCCAACCCCATCTCTGCCTCCAGGCTGGCCCTTTTGGCTGGTCTGCAGAGGCCCTATTTCACATTTACAATATCTACTTAGGGCCTTTACTGCCAGAAATAATGCTGCTTGAGGCCACTTTAACTGTCCTGGCTCAGTGCTAGGGAATCATGGGAATTATATTTTTTTCTGGAACATTGAGCCTTCTCTGTCAGAGAGCTCTGGTGTCACAATAAACTACAGTTCCCATGATCCCTCAGCACTGAGCCAGGACAGTTAAAGAGGCCTCAATCTGCATTATTTCTGGCAGTCTGTAAAGGCCCATAGTCATGATTGTGACACTATTGCCATGATCATAATTCCCCCACAACATATTTTACTGGGCATGAGGAGAAAGAAGTCCCTTCTGCCAGCGACTGGAGGACAGGTGAATGATGTGTCCATCAGGTCTGGGGGTAGGGAGGTCACTTAAGTATACAGCACTTATCTTAGTAGTTGATGAAGAAAACTGGCCTTTTCCATAATGTAACATTTGAAACACGGTCGTCATTTGCAATTTTAAAAAAATGACTGGAAAAGACAGTCTTATAGTACATTTTAGAACATCTGTTGCAACTCATGTGCTTGCATATATGTGTTTCTGCACACCCACACACACACAAGTTCTTGCCACTGACATTTTTTGTTGTTGCAAGGAACAGCTAACAGCTCAACTTAATTTGTTTCTTTGTAGAAGGAGATCTTTGAACCTCCTGTGTGTGATGCCTTCCACAGATTAGGAATAGTTGTGTGCCTGCTTTGGAAAAATTTGTTCCATCTGCCCGCCATCCTCCGTCCCTGAACTGATAAGGCATCTGTAAACACTCTCTGAAACTCTTAACAGAGACTCCTCTGTATGTTGCTTTGAAGGAGATCTGCATGAAGACCTCTGTACCAATTTGAAAATATCTTGCAAACTGATAAAGAAGTGAAGATACAGCTAGCATCCACTGTGTAATAAGGATTAACAAACCCAAGGATGTTTGCTTGGCTTGAAGATTGCCTTGAAAAGAGATGGAAGTCTGGGATTCAATCAGAACTTAATCTGATTTCTTCTGATGATGCATAACCTACCCTCCCTCCCCCAATACAACATTCAGAGTAAATATTCAGCCCTTCAAATTAAAACCGAACAGTTTAATTTTAACAGCAGTTTTGGAGTATTTAAGATACCCTCTCTTCATTAAGACATCAGATGGCTTAGTGTGAACATCTGCCTGTATAATGTAATGAGGGGATCAATGAGGAATTCTTTGAGATGTGTTAGATGGGGGAGGGACTAAGTCTGATTTTGGGTAGCCAGTCTGCCCCAAAATATCTATTTGCATTTCCAAAGGTCTTTAGATATCAGTAGGCGCCTCTTTGCAGGTGATTAGTCGATGGAATAAAATCCCCAAGGCTCTGATTTGATTTGACTGATAATAAAAATGGCCCATATATTTCTTGTAGCTAATTGTGTCCATGGATATCAAGCATACTTTAGCTAATGGTGGAGAAAAAGAGACAGCCTGGTCAAAGCTTATTTGAAGAAATGGCATGTTTTAAAAGCTGACGTGACTTAAAACAGAATCATATAAGCTCCTTGCTAAACCACTTTCAGGATATATTAGGTATAACAATAGTTTTCTACATGAAAATGGCTTTGAAAAAATCTCCAAAGAAAAGAATTTTAAAAGAAAAGATTTTTTTTTTTTGCTGCACATTAAATTGGATGTGAATTTGACAGATTTCAAAGACTGTCAAAATAACGAATTTACATCATAAATGTGCAGGCTTCCTTTATAAAGGCTCTTCAACAACTCAGGAAGGCATTTAATGGTGAGCGAGTTCAAAGTGTCACGGACTCCCACTGGTACGAAAAGGAGGCAATACCTACGATAGTCTCTATGTTTCAGATAATGTATCTGTCTCTTTTCAAGTTAATAAACTGCACTCCTGTCAAATTGCAGATAAATGAAAGCGACCAAGACATTGTTTTCCCCACATATTGCTAAGAAAGATATCTTCCAATATTTCTGAACCACCAGTATGCTAAAGAGAACTTGAAATGAATCCACCCTGCAGTTATTTTACAGCATCAAAGACAATGAAATTTCGACAGAGGCACTTTCTGAAGTTTTTAAATGCTTTATTTCTGATAGCTGCTCATTAAGAAGCTTCCAAAGCTTTTTTTATTGTTTCAAAGGCAGTCATCTAAATTTTTAATCATTCACCAATGCTATATGGTCATGATGTTACTCTCTATCTTGTGCGCACATCGAGGAAGGAAGAGGGGGATTATTATTTTGTCTTTTTTAAAAAAAATCTATAAACTAATGTCAACATAATGTTCTTCCTGGTTGATAGTTAGGTAAGGCCCTTTTGCATTTAAAACATTATTGAGATATTCTTGGTTTCTGAAGGAAAAGGGGAAACTACTGTATTATTTTAGAAACTCAGTAAGAATAATACTTGGGGCTTGATCCTTCCCTGTGCAACAGAATGTGAAACAGAACTTGGAAAAGTTACAATTTTGGACTACAAATCCCAGAACCTCTTTGGGAACTGTCACCAAAATTCTGATACATAAGGACAGGAAGCTTCCTTATAGAAACTATTGGTCCATTTAGACCAATATTCTTAATACCAGTTGGCAAAAGATCTCCAATAGTGTTTGTAAGTGACATTCCCCAGATCTGCCAAGGACTGACGCTGGAAAATTCTGCATGCAAAACAGGTGCTGAATCACAGAGCTGTGGCCCTCTAACATAAGGTTGCTACGCTTTCTTTCCTTCTCTCTTCTCTGTGAGTGTCCTCTGGCTTGTGTTGCTGCAGTGCATACCAGGACAGTCAGTCATGCCTATTTGTCCATGCACTGTGGAAGCTAAGCAGGACTCAGAGCTTGTGCAACCTACAGCATGGAGAACACACAGTGCTCCCTTATAGGACGCTATGCTATGTGTTTAGCTAGTCCAGTATCATCTACTCTGACTAGCAGTGGCTCTTTCAGATCTCTGGCCGTTAGAGGTCTTTCTTATCTCTTGCTACTCAATATGATATTTTCCTTCAGCTCCTTATACATTCATTTTCTCCCAGTGAACTAGAACTGCATCTGTACTACTTGATGGTGATGTGGGTGTCATGGAGAAACCTCCATCATTACCTGGTGTACTGCTCAGTTGTGCCCACATTGAAGAGAATGGAAAGGAGACACTTGCTAAGATCTCTCCACAGGGAAAGAGATGGGTTTGTGCAAGGAAAGACAGTGTTGTTAGTATTTTGTACAACACTTTCCCCAAATGCGTACAGCACAGTACTTTCATTATCTTGGATTAAGGCTGCTGCTGCTGCTGCTATTACTACTACAACTGGTGACAGGAAAATTGTGGTTTACCTAAGGTCACCTGGTAAATTAATAGCTGAGGTGAAGTTCGAGCTGGGGCATCAAAGACTCACAGTTCATTTTAAAAACATCACTGTGCTACTCTAGCTCTGCAATCATGGAGAACAAAAATGCTGTTACTAATTTACTGATGATGATCAACTTTGAAGTCTTTAGTCCCAGGCTGCAAGGAGAAACTACATATTACATGGTACCTTTGGGGCATGTGTGTGTAGGCGTATTTGCATGTGAGAAGATGTGTGAGGAAGCATGTGATTTTACTTGTGTTTTACCAAGCTCTTTTCCCCCTATAGAACTTCACATCCATGCTGTTAGGGCAAGTGATGGGGCAGTATATTCACTCAGTTCTCAAGGAGACATAGGACATGAATTAGATACAGTAAGCAAGCATTACAACGACCCTGCACAGAAGCTCTTTTAAGATGTGATCTAGCAAGCTGAGCTCTTGCAAAGCTTGAAAAGCACAATATATTGAAAATCATAATACCAGGCATAGGCATCCTGGTGCGCTTCAGATCTTTTGGATTCCAGAACATCAGACCATTATTCATACTTGCTGGAGCTTATGGGAATTGCAGACCAAAACATCTGGAGAGCTGCAAAGATATAAACAGTACAAGTGAAGTTAATTAGACCACAGGCAGATTACAAACAGATAAGATCCAAAATTTATAAGAAGGCAGAACAACTATTATGATGGAAGTATGCTGTTTGTTGTTGTGGTGTGTCTTCAAGTCATTTCCAATTTATGGCAACCCTAAGGTGAACCTATCATGGAATTTTCTTGGTAAGCTTCTTCAGTTTGCCATTGCCATCCTCTGAGGCTGAGAGAGTGTGACTTGCCCAAGGTCATCCAGTGGGTTTCATGGCTGAGCCGGGATTCGAACCCTGGTCTCCAAAGTCATAGTCGAATGCTCAAACCACAACACCATTCTGGCTTCCAAGAATGCTACTCAGTAAGATCTCTGTGCTTAGCTTACCAAAGTTCATCTCTTCTATTGGTCTAACTGCAAGCCTGCTACCTTACCAGAGCTCTGGCTAACATGAATGCAAAGGGTCTGCACTGGCCTTCAGAAATCCTAGCTGTGAAGTTCATTACCTGCCATTGTGGTTTATGTTTGACAGCAGATTGGAACTTTGTTTTCAAAAGCTGAGAGATGCCACAGTCTGGTAGGGCACTGGCTTTCACAGAGAGATTCTGGGATAAAGGAGTTGTGGGTTGCGTTGTGAGTGATGGCCCACTAGAGAAGCGAATGCTTTGGGTATCCACTGCACCCAGAGAAGCAGGGCAAGGACAGTGGTGAAATTACAGCTGGTTCAGCTTTGCTTCTTCCCTCTTTCCCACAAAAACATCTCTTTGAAGGGCAAGCTGGTTTCCTTCTCAGCCACAATGGCTGTTGATTTTCACATTCAAACATTAAAAGGGCAAAAAACTGTGCTACAAACCTGCATCAGATTTCCTCCTACAGAAACCACAAACCATCTTCTCTTCAGGAGCTATTTTCCATTCTTGGGAAGACAACGCAGCATATGACCAAGTCTTGTTACTATATGCTTCCTCTTCAATAAACATGAATGCAGGAGCTTGGGCATTTTCAAGGCAATCCATTTCTGACCATGGTGAAGACTTTCCCCTCAAAAGGAGCAGTTATTGGCTGGAGAAAGGATGACTGGCCCAGAGAGCTGATCCAGTAAAAATACTTGTAGTACCTTTGAGACTAACTGAGCAAAAGAAGTTGTAGCGTAAGCTTTTGTAGACTTGGGCTGCATCCGCACTGCAGAAATAATCCAGTTTGACATCTTTAGCTGCCATGGCCCAATGCTATGGAATTCTGGGATTTATAATTTTGTGAGACATTTAGCTTTCTCTGACAGAGAGCTTTAGTGCCACAACAAACTACAATTCCCAGAATTCCATAGCATTCAGCCATGGCAGTTAAAGTGACGTCAAACAGGATTATTTCTGCAGTGTGGATGCAATCTACTTCCTCTGATGCAGCAGATCTATGATCACTAATGCTACAACTTATATCACTCAGTTTCAAAGATACTACAAGATCTCTTAGCATGCTGATATTCTATAATATTAATAATAATAAATTTTATTTATAACCCGCCCTTCTGCGGGCAATCAGAGCAGCGAACAAAATTAAAACAGAACAGAAGTTAAAACAATTCCATCTCCCCCCAATCCCTAACCCACCCACCCCCATAAAATCGAATTAAACTAGAATAGAGATTAAAATGCAAATTGACCAGCAATAATTTAAAACACTAGGAGGCAGGGAGCAAGAAACAATCGGACTCAAATTGGTTGGGAGAATTATTCCAGGAAGGCCTGTCGGAAGAGATCCATCTTTACTGCTTTTTTAAAGCAGTCAAGCATAGTAATGAGACGGATCTCATTCGACAGGCCATTCCATAATCTTGGAGCGGCGACAGAAAAGGCCCAATCTAGTTTTCATAGGCAGTAGCAGATTCCTCCCAGAAGACCGAAGTGCATTGGGGGGGGTGTCATACGGGGAGAGGCGGTCCCAAAGATAAGTTGGACCAAGCCATGTAGGGCTTTAAAGGTCAAAACCAACACCTTGTACTGTGCCTGGAAACTAATCGGCAGCCAGTGGAGAGATTTCAGCACTGGAGTTATGTGCTCACTCCTAGATGTTCCCGTAACCAACCTGGCTGCCATATTTTGAAGCAGATGAAGTTTCCAAGTTAGGCACAAGGGTAGCCCCATGTAGAGTGCATTACAGAAATCCAATTGTGAGGTTACCAGAGCGTGTACCACAGTTTCGAGATCCCTAGTCTCC